CTTCTATGGTGACATACTTGTGGTGTTATTTTGCTTATCTCTTCTTTCTGCTTACTGTTCTGTATATTTTCTAGGGTAAAAGTGAACAAACTATTAAATCTTTCTGGACATCTACTATTGTGTCAAATACTTTAGGTGACAACTGGTGTTCCTGCTGTCTTCACCTGGGTATTATTTTTGTTCTTCCAGGATGTTTTAACTCCCTGGAACATATTTGTAATAAGAGGGGGTTTGTGAGTTGAGTTTTTCCTTCTCCTATTTTACACTTGAGTTTTTAGAAGTTCTTATATTTCCCTAGTGGCAGAGCCTCTTACAGCCCATAAAAGAGAGGAGACAGTGGATTGTTACAGCTGGTCTTAATATGGTCTTTGTTTGAGGATGACCTATGGCCAAAATATGGCAAGAAAAAGGAACAGCTTTGTGGTTTTCTCATTATTTAGATGTGCCTTTATGTATTCTGTGTACATAGATGTAGTTAGGAGATGGTCATAATATCCAAGATGCTTTCCTGATACACTGGCAACTTTTCTTCCTGTACTTTTTTAGTTGGTTCCTAGCAGGACATGTGGTCCAAATGGTGCTAAGAGAAGGTTTCTTGCCCTAATCTTTCTCTTTTTTTCCAGTAAAAGCACATTTTTTATGAAAGTGTTCCTTAAGATGAGGATTTGACATGAAAAGGGATTGACCAGGCATCTGGTCTGTATCAGTATTGGCTGAGTTATGCAGGGATCAATAGTATGGAGGAGAAGCTGGTGAACATTTGTTGAGGCAAATTATGGAGATCTTAGACCAGGAGAAGAGACAGAACCAAGAGTGGAAGGAGGAGCTAGCGGGTTTTATACATTTGTGTAAACTGTAGTATAATTTTTTTCATATTAAAATATCAGCTTGAATTAGGTTCCCATCCTCCTTCCTTAAAAGAGTTTTCAGAGTACTCCTTTGTACTGTTTTGCTGTTGATAAATATTAGTTATAAAGGAAGTGTTACAGCAAGTCTTTGTTTGTTTGTTTCTAAGATTTCTGCTGTTTTGTTCATTGAATTTTCTATTTTTTTCATGTATATGAACTAATAAAATTCAAAGTCTTAGGCTTTTTAGAATGTCAGAATTCTAGTGACAGAGCAAAGTTAAATATAGAAGTGTACATTGTGTCAATACATTGCATTTCTTTTCTGCCATACAACTTTATTTTCTGCCATCCAACCTTCCTTTCATGCCTAATTCAAGTGCATTTCCCTACTTCCATGTTCACCAAATCATAACCACACGAAGAGGTTATTCACCACTTAGGAATGAAAGTCCATCTGTTAGTTATTATCTTTGCTGTACTGCAGCACTTCAGAATGAATGTTTGGGAGAGACTTTGAGTGCTGTACCCAGTCTTTGCCCTCTTCTAAGCAAATGCAAATACCTAAGAAATGCTACCCTCTTTGGTCTGGGGAAAAAAAAAATCCTTTGTTCTTCCCATAAGTTAGCATAAGTTTGATTGTGGATTTTTAGGACTAGGCTCAAAATAGATAGCATGATTTATTGTATCTGAGTTATGCCAAGTAAATACCTCGATGTTTCCACTCAGTTCTAGGAAGAAAAATCATCTTTGTTTAAAATATGTGCAAGGGGTTTAGCTGATCTCTTTCACAGGAAAATCATGAACGTCATTATACAAACATGCATTTTAGTAATATTTACAGTTGGTTAGATGGCTAAAACTTGTTTGTTCTCTTTTCAGTGTCTAGAAGACTAAACTAAAGAAATAACATGGTTGCAATTCATCTTTAATTCCAAATTGCAGATTTTTCTTTATTATTAAAAGCAAAGTTCCTGTAGATGACATTCAGGAAAACCTGATCAGCAGGGAATTTCCTGCTGTCTGAATTCAAGGAGACAAGTTACGCCACTGCAGTGATAGCCACGGGCTCCATTTGAGGGGAACTTGTTGTGATGCAGTGACCTAATGCGGCATTCCTGCCTGTGGGAGACAGATTATGGGACTAAATTGTTGAATTCCTGGAAGGTGGTGGAATAACTATAGATAGGGAAGCTAGCCTTTGCAGAAACTCATAGATGCTATCAGAACTGCAGAGCCACATTAATTTCAGACTTTTCTGAAAGGTGACAAAACTGTTCACAGAGCAAATGTAACAGTTTATATGGGAACTGATGTGGGATTGCTGAATCTTGCTAAATTTTCTCAATTATCACAATTTTTGTAGGCTTTTAAACTGCCTACTGGCAGGCAATTTCTATTTAATTTTTGTCCTTCAAAAAGAAGTTGTTATTATTATTTTGTTCCAGCTGAAATCAAAAGCTGTTGTCTGCTAAGATCATCTCTTTGTGGTCCTTATAAAGGGAGTAGTTTCTTATTAAGAAAAAATCCAGGCCTCTTTATTGCTTCACGACATGGGCATAAAGCCTTGCTTAGGGCAAGAAAGTAATAAGGAAAGTGTATTATTAGATAGTGGGTGTTGTTCAGGAAGGCTGAGGGAATGTATGGAAAGGAGGGAGAAAATATGTGGAAAGTAAGTACCAGAGAGGAAAGAAGATTGAGAGAGAAGGTGCAAAGAGAAGTCCCGCTGAATACAGGGATTGGGAAGCCATAGTGCAGGCAATTTGTATGAACTGGGCAGTGGGAGAAAAGAGAAAGCAGGGGAGGGTTTAAAAGAAAGACATGAAATTGGGTATTAAGGCCGTGGTTCTGTTGGCATGGTCTGTTAGTTTGGAGTCAAGGGCTTATCTCAAATCCATCCTGGCATGAAGGGCTGAAGGAGCTCCTGGAAAAACCTTACAGGGAAGTCTTCTTTTACCCATAGGTTTCTGTTGTTCACCCTCTGATGTATGGCTTTGTTCTAGTTCTGGGATAAAACAGGGTAGATTTTTATCATGACAAGGTTTTCAGAGATAACCTGAAAAATCAGTCTTGCTCAGGAGCTGTTCTTAATTGTGACTTTGGAATTGATGTGACAAATACTAGTTTTGTTTTGAGATCTCTTAAGCACAGTCCAGGAAGTGGCTGGCAGGTGGATTAGCAGAAAACCTCAACTTGCACTTGTGTATGAAGTAGGGAATGTGGTAGACTGAGGCCTTGGATAGCACAAACAGTAACAGCCAAGTTTAAATAAGAGAAGCTTTAAACTCCTTTGTTATATTCTTCCTGAAGTTGACAGCCCACACTATGCACTAAGAATTTAGATGTTTTCTCTGTCACTGTCAACCAATAAAATTTACTTTAAAAATAATAAAGATAAAGCTCTGACTCAGTGATCTAACACTTCAGTAATTTACTATCATAAAATAGTTTTAAGTACAAATGTTTTATCTTATGCCAAGCTGGACTCTAAAGATGTTTTGTCTAAAATATGAGATAATGGAAAGTGTATTGTGGCATGTGAATTACTTTAGCCTCTTGGTGGTAAATATTTGCTTAACCAGAAAAGAATGTGTTGAGGTCCTTGCCAAAGGAAAGGTATTGCTATACTTTGCATTTAGAGTACTGTAAATAAAGCAGTAAATATTTTTTTGTTCATGTATGTTGATACACAAGTTATGAATGCATTCATTCAATAAGAAATATACTGTTATCCCTTTTAAAGGGTTTCAGTAAGAAGAGTTCATAATTACTTTGGCTTGAGTGAAACATGAAACCAAATATTTTCATGATGATTTGAAGTGGAATATAAGAGAATTTTTGCTCAAACTACGTCTGCCTTAAATCCCAAGAACTCAAATCCTGTTTTATCCTCGGTATTCTTCTTGTGTGCTGACTCCTGATGTACTGCTCTTAATCACACATTACTGTAAATCATTAAGTATATGAATCCTTCACCATCCAGTGTTGGTTTTGGCAAAAGAAAATACAACTGCATAGTATTTTAATGATCAGAGGAGGTACAGCAGCCATGGGAAACTCCACATACTACCTGCAGTATATTTGGTTTTCAACTTCATTTTCCTTTAGCTGATACAATAGCTTAGTGGTAATTTAATAATGCTGATTACAGAAAGAATTGCATAACTCAGAATGCAGTATAATAATATAAAAAGCATCCTTTGGATGCTGCACTTATAGTGAAAGCAACAGGGTTTCACCTTCAGAGGCCTTTGAAATACCCTTCCTTTCCCTAAGGTCTCACTCCCAGTTTTCTAGTTAGAGAGTTGGGAGAGAATATTACAGTTTGAGAAAATGCTTGTGGAGAGGGTGCTCAGTTTATTTTCTGTTACTGTGATATCATTTGTTACGTCCCTGGTTTCACTCTCCGGGGCGAGGATGAGCCATTTTCCAGGAAGGGAGCGCGCATCCAAGTCGTGCGCCTCTTGTAGCACACACAAATGTGGGGATTTCTGCAGGGGGTTTGTAGCTGATGGTGCTGTAAGCAGAGATTTGCTTTGGCATTACAGGAATATTGCACCATCTTTTATGAGTTATTGCTGAAATATTCTTAAGTCAGAACAGGGGTATCTCTCCTACAAAAACAGAGCTCCACGTACTTCCAGTGTACCTGTGCTTTGGTAGTTGTTCAGATACTCTTTTTATTTCGTTCTCCCAGTGCTTCACTGGTACTTCATAAGCAAACATGATAAGTAAGGTACACTACTAACTATGTAAATTAAACCTGTAGTGTTAAAACCTGTAAGATATTGTTATTTTTAATTTAGAACCTGATTTTGATAAATGTATCAATTTTGATAACCATTTGTCCATATCTGATTTGCCAAATATATGTGTTATGACATAATAAATCATTTCATCCCTTAGAGAAATTTGACTTAGATTCTCCTCTTGTTCTTTATACTTATATCTTAGGAGGGTTTAAAAAAAACTATGCAGTTGGATAATAAGACTGGATGTGTAATTTGAATGATAAGGTAGTTCTTCTGGACACGGTATCACCTGAAAGTCATGTGAGATGCCAGAGAGCTTTTTGATTTTTTTCTTTTGCCAGAAAATATATGTTATTGTCTTGCTAGTATTAAAATCCAAAATAAACTTCCTGTTATTTTTAAGGTACAATGAACTGGATGCCAGTAGAAGCCTCTTAGACAATTTGAAAGGCAAAGTAATAATTGAGTATCCAACATTATTTGTGGTCTTGAAAACACTGAAGAATGACATGGTGGTTCTTGGCAAAGGTGAGCATATATATATTTGCTGTTATGCTATACTTAGATATTTTACTTACAAAAACAGTAATTAAGCATATATCTATTAATAATGTCAGGAATGGTCAGTATGTCTTGTATTTCACTCTGAATCTAAAAGATTGCTATAAAAAAGCTTTGAAGAGTGCTTTGTCTTAAAAATGCTGGCTGATGACCTACATCCATAAGCTGTGTTGTATCTGTTTTTCCTAACTTTTTCTACTTATGGGGTTTTTTTGGTTTGGTTTGGTTTGGTTTTTTATATTTTTAGCCTTCAAGGTAAAATAACTCTTTAGATTTGTGCTAATTTTTTTATGTAGCAAAGTTTGACAAGTCAGGCTGTCTGAGGAAGATGAGTTTTAAGTAAGCCTGCTAATTGTGCATCCTAGCATAGCTCCTAACTTTGGACTAATAATTCTGAATTGTGGGATATTAGTTCGGAATAATAATGGCCAAGGTTTTCGGGTAGGTTAAAAACACAGTGTTATCTTTTGAAATTTACTTGAGGGAAAACTTTCATCTTGGAGTTAACTTGAAAAAGATTCCAGGTCTAGCAGGAATTTGTATTTTAATTTTTAAGTTAATTTCCATTTTTCTCCCCAGTATAAAGGCTTCATATCCCAGCTTCTCTTTCTGCAGCTGCTGAAATAGGGAATCAGTTCTCTTGTCTCCTTGTACCCTACTTGGTCACCTTAGTTGTCAAATTCCGTACTTTCAGCGATGAGCCAGCCTGTAATTTTTACAGATTTTTGAGGAAAAGCTTTGAGATATGTTTGCAATTACTGTTTCCCTGTTGCAGCTCAATCATGGCTCTGTATCTGTATAGTTTGACTGAATAAATATGTGACTGAGAATATTGTACCAGTGATATTGAGCTTCCATGGATCTTGGCTGTTCTGGCTAGATTACACTAAGTGATCCACTGAGGGCAACCTGCTCTCAAAGATATGGCAGGTAAAAATTTATTGTGCACTGCAAGGGTTTCTGAGAGTGAGGCAGTGTGCCAGGGGATAAGGTAGGAGTGTTGTCTGCATAACTGGGTCTAGTGATACTCACCCTGGGAGTGCACATACAAACACTGGAGTAAATGAAATGAGGTATTTTTCATTTATCTGTTATTTCTTGATCTAGGTCCCTTGCTTTTCAGGAGTCAGCCCTACCCTTATGATTTTGAGGTCAGGAGGGAATTATAATTGATTGACTCATAAACTTAATCTAAATAGGGTTGTTGTCATTGTCTCCTGAGTTAATAGGGAGGTTGTCCTTCAAGTAAAGTGTTGATTGAACAACTATATTTTGAGGTCATGCTGCTGCAGCACCTACTGATGCTGTAAAAGGCAGAGAAGGGGAAGAGAGAGACAGTAATAGCTGGAGAAGCTCTGTCACAGGGCAGGGCAAGCATGTATCCTAAAGACAGTAAGCTTCCTCTGCTGCAGGGATCATTGGGTTAGCAGTCATCCCTGAAGCTGGTATTCTGGGAACACTGACAGCTATTTCAGGTTTTGAAAACTATTAGTTTTCTTTTGTTTTTCTTTTTGTTGTTTTAAATGTTTCTATATATTCCATTAAAAAGAATTGAATAGCTCCCTATTGAAGTATCTTGGGTATAACACAGTAAAAATTATGGCAAAAATATCGTGATTTTCACAACTTTTATCATAACTTATTTTTGTCATCTTCTCAGTTTGGATGACAAACAGCCTTGAGTTTGGTTCAGATCCTGTGTTCTTGGAATTTTATCTATTAAGAGTAGAAACCTGCAACATTAACTTCAGATTCTTTCTGAAAAACTGTTCAGAGCATAAATATAAAGGTAGGAGGGCTTTTTTGTTGCTATTATTCTGCCTGAAGACAAAATACCACTTTTGGTGAAGTGTGTCACAATCATTGTACTCTTCTGTGTGTCATCTTTACAGAATATAGGAGGACAAAAAACAGTTTTCAGTTTGCTTTAGCAGTTGCATTCACAGATAATTGCTAAGAGTGCAAATCTTTAATTCCTCTCTAGACTGTCCAGGGAGAAGTCTGTTGTAATCAGAGAGGTATTTTAGCCCCTTCCCATCTCCCAGGAAGTGACCTTTCTGCTACAGCATCCTCTGTGCTTCCTACAGTCCAGTTTCTTTGCCATGTATGGCTTTTTGTATCAGTTGCTTGCTGCTCCTAGGCCATCCATCCTGCTCTTGCTTATCCTGTTTCTACCAATACTGCCTTTGCTTTCTGCCTTACTTGTGCCCCTGGAGGGACACTTGTCTCGCCCAGAGCGCCTGTCCGGCTGACCTCCCTTTGCATTCCAGGCAAAACAGCTGCCACACTGATGAGTGGACGTCTGGCAGGGTGTCTGCTGCAGTTTGAGGGCTCAGCTACCATAACCCTTCTGATTCTGCTGGCAAAGGACCCAGGCTAGAACAAGGAACAAAGTCTTGTGGGAATCTTAACTGCTAAAATATTGTTTCTTTACTGAGCAATCTCAGATTTACCCCCATCCTCAGGAAGAACAGAGGCAAGTTTTTGTAGCCACAGCAGTAGGAACACACTGGGGAAAGATCACCATTCTCCCTGTGATTCAAGTAGTAACCCCCAAAGACTGGAGGAGAACTAGAGCTGGACACCTTCAAAGTGAAACTGTTACAATTTAATGAGCATAAAGGCTGTTTATCCTCTCCTTTTTTCAAAAATGGCTGATGTATTTGGCCGAAACTTTCAAGTAAATAAGGAAAATAAGGATTGAGGACAGAAACTGCCACTGAAAAACCCAGAGTTTAAATTTTTAATTATAAGTAAACTGCAGACAGTTTTATGGTGGGAAGGATTGGGCAATCTTAATTTATAGGCAATGCTATCAGCACCATACAAGTATGTTCTTTTTGATTGAAGACAATCTATAATTCTTGTTAAATAAAACTTATTGTAAGAGACAAAAATAAAGCTAAAATTTGTCTGTTGAGCTTTGTTGTGAGTCAGAAGATTGCCACATTCTTTTATGTGATGTTTTGATGCTTGACTTGCTTAATAGCAAAACCTACAGGTGCTCTGATTTCATCATACAAGGTCAGTCATGGCTGAAGATAGTAGGGGATTATAGAAGCTTTCATAGGACTTAGGGGGAAAAACAATCCTTACTTTGTGCATTACTCAGTACATATCTGGCATATAAATGTTAATTGATTATACACTAGATTTAATATAGACAAAATGTGACCTCTGATGTTTCTGGGTGAAATGCTTCTATTTTCTTGAACAAATTCCTTGGAAACTGTACAGGTGCACACTGTGTCCTGTGCCCTTTTGCCAGCTGTAGAACTTATCTTGACAAGACAATAACTATACTTCGTCAGCTTCCTTTTGGTAATGTTCTCATAATGAAGCATCTGACACCAAATGCTCAAAAAGGTCTTTAAATTCATAGTCAGATCAAATACTGAAAATAACAATGAGAGCAGAGTGTGAATCATGGGCCTGCTTTGCTGTAGTTTATTTTTGTGCTGCTTGAGTGTCAGCAAGCAGTGGCATTTGGTGACCTCACTACAAGGTAACCAGGGTCAGTGCTTGTTAAAGAAGGATCCATGGGGTGTGAGGCTGAAGACCAGTTTTGGAAATGAGTGCTTCACTGTATGATCTCAACAGAGCACGACAGCCGTGCCCTAAAGCACAAGTTGTTGTGCAGCTTGAACCTCATCAGCCTTAGCTCATAGATTCACATAGTTTATCACCATCTTTGGGATGCTGGAACATGTGGAAGAAGCACATAGGTACATCATTTTAATTTTCCATTTCCATTTAGAATTTCTCAGTAGTTCCCTATCTTAACTGAAATGCTAGTAAAAGTGTAAATGACTTATAATGCATTACAGTTGTGATATGTGTATGTAGCAACCCAGAAAACAACATTTAAAGCAAACCAAGAGAATGGCTTAGAATTGTCAGTGGATGAAGACTTTTTCGCTTTTCTACTTGATTGAAAGACCAAGATTTAAAAACTAAAATAAATTCTCAACATTAACTGCTTTCTCCTTCAACAGCAAGGTCTTACCCAGGGTTTTATCCCATGTTATGAGACTGATTATGTCTTATGAAATAGCTGTCCTCAAGAAAAGTGTGATATGAAAGGAAAAGAAAATAGGAAACTGCTTCTGTTTGATGAGCAAACAACATTGCTGAAACTAATTGCTTGTTTGGTTTTTATGTTCTATATCCTCAGATGGCAGTGAACCTGTAGAGAACTCAGACAGTGAAAGTTCATCTCTTTCATCTATGGAAGAAGGGGAAATTCGGGACAGTTCATGACGGTGTTTTGAGAGAAGAGGGTGGAATGAGCTTTTTGGGTTTTAAATTATTTAATTAGAGGATTTTTTAATACAACTGAATTCCTAGAGGTTTTGTTTAACTTTCTTCACTAAAGACAGCATTCCCAAAGTGCCTCTACCTATTTTTAGATTTAGTAATGCATATTTAGGGATGTAAATAAGGAGATGGGGAATTGCTGGTTCCAGAAAAAAAACTATATTCTTATTTAATTGCAGCCTTCAATTGCACCGTTGTTTTTCATTTTTCCCTAACAACCTCAGTGTCTAACTTCCAGGTTTAAATGTCTGACCACATATTTGTATTTTATGTGGATATTTGAGTCTTAATGCTTAACCTTACTGAAGAAAAATGAAATCTAATTCTAATGAAACTGATGTTTCATTAAATTAAATTTTAGGGTATTTCTGTATAACACTGAGCTGCTGACAATGGTCTTTTGTTACTTTTGACTTTAATTTTTTGTGGTGACATTTTAGGTGCTTGGTGCAATGCATTTTTTTTTCTTACTTGGTTGCATTCTTGTTTAATATGTTAATGGACAGGTCAGACTGTGTTTTCAGGTTGGCTTGTTGCTGTATGTTTAGTCTTCTACCCGGATCTTCTACATTAATGTGGGGTTTAAAATCAACAGAATTGGATGCATAGATTGGCACTAATGCAAATACACTTCACTTCTAAAGAATGTTTGTGTTAAGCATCTCATGTACCTGGTATACCTACTGAAGTTAGGTATTGTAAATACTTACTGGCATATCAACTCAATTTATCTACTTTAAAACAAAGAAATCGTAAAGAAAAAAGATTCCTGTACTTTATCATCTGCTGGCAATAGAAGTTTGTGGTTAACTTCTGGGAAGATTTCTAGGTCACAGACCACGTATCCCTATATCCAAGTCCCCCGTGCCTGTGGGGTCTGTTGCAAGCAGTGCAGGGCAGGTGAACCCCTGTCCCCGCTTGCACCAGGGCATTCTCATGACTCAGGATCAGTGTGTGAGTTCGTTTGCAAGGGTCAGGGTTTGTACAGTCTTCAGGACATGGTCCCTCTCTGAACAGCTCTGTGAGGTTGTTGCTGCCTTTGTTGTTACCCCAGTTTCTGTCTCCTGCTTGAGACTGGCACCTTTGTGACAAAAGTTGGTGTCCTGGGTGCATGTTCATTTGCCATGAAGATGGTATTTCAGTTGTAAGTGTTCTTCCTGCCAGTGCTGACATAGGAGGTAGAAATACAACAGGAAGCAGTGAAGGAACTTGTAGAGGTAACAGGAGGCTGTGGGAGCAATACAGGGGAGGGCTGAGGCTTCCAGGCTCTGCCTAGGCTTCAGGGCCCCAGGATCCTAGGTCCTCACTGGTCATGCTTCTGCATGGAGAGGATTTTTAGGATGTTCAAAGTTTTAGAAGTTCGGGGTTTTTCCCTTGAGAAGAAATAGTCCTTAAAAGATTGTTCACCATGACATCTCACTACTGAAGTTTGGACAGACTGTCAGACATTTGCAGTCACATACTACTTTCTCTCACAGTGGTGTCACGTGTCCTTTCCCTTGTGTGTTTTGCAAACCCTGGTAAAACAGGGAAGTTTTTCTTCTTGCCTGGCAGTAGCCACCTGTGCTCTGTTTTCCTTTTTACTCATTGTTGGTCCTCTGCCCACCTCTTGTTTCAATGTTTGTTTTTTTAACCCTTTATAAAGGACCGGGATTCCTGGTTATAGGTGCTGCTTTCATATTTTTTCAGTTGAGTGAAAGTGAATAAGCTTTTCCTAATCAGTGATTGCTGCACACTGACTTGGTAGCCACAAATTACTTTAAACCAGTCTTGAACTCATTCATAGTAATACCAGTAAAAGAGTAGAACAGCAAAACTGCCACAGTTCATTTGCCAGAAAATGTTTCATCTGGAGTAAAGGCATGGCATTTCTGTTGGATTCATAGCACAGTGAAAAGGAGAGTGCTGCAAATGTTAGTGTTGATCTGCATGTGTGCGTGATTAGTCTTTGGCTGAGGAACACAGATTTGTAATTTGCATTACTTTCCTGTGCTCTTGGGGGCTTTCATGAATTGTACGAAAGGGTTTGCCTGTGGGTTTTTTTCTTATATGAATCTAGTTTAATCTTTCTTGTGAGTCAAAACACAATGTAATTCATTTTTAAATGAAGATGCTGTTAAACCTATCCTTCAGATTTAAATCCTTCTCTACCTTAAAGAAGGCTTTAAACAATGATTAACGAGCATTCCTGTGGTGGTTACTAGAATTGAAATTTCCCAGACAAACTTAAGAATCATCTTTCAGAGTTCAATCAAATTGAGAGCCTTGGTAGCATTTGCCATTCGTTCCTAGGTTATTACTTACCTATTTTTACAGTTACACTAGTTTGAACAGTGATGAGTCATCAAATACAAACCCAGATGCAATTCAAATATTTTGTTCGGTTTTGCTAAGCTTTTTCAATTTTTCTTTATAAAAAGGAATCGAAATTATGGTCTCTGGCTAAAAAACACAGCAACAACACTCTTGTAGGAACTGCAAGAGTGGTTAATTCTTCATAATAATAATGTTACTGATTTAATCAAGGTTTATGCACCCTTTGTCTAGGCAGATATTTTTTAAGACTTTTCATAGTTTTTAATTTCTTTCTGAGTGACTTAGTGTGGAACAATCACCTTGTAATAAGCTGAAGAGAGAAAAGGCATCTTCTGTATTTTTAAATTTCTGGTCAAGCACTAGAAATTTAATGCATGGAGCCAAGGCTGCCTGGAACACTTCAGTTCTGTCCGTTTTGAAAACATACTATTGTAATCATACAAGGATCCCTACAGGACTCTGCCTTGATTCAGAACAGATCATGTCTGTGAATGAAAACTGTGTGATGTTGTTTTAATCTGCATCATTCAACACCAGCTTGCGTTGAGTGCTTCGTTTTATGCCTACTATGCTTACTCATTTATTTTCCTCTATAAACTACTTGTCACAGAAGGAACAAGCTATTTGTGTGTAGGTTTGTTACAGCATTTCTTTTAATGTTTATAGAGTTTTCAAGTTTCAAACCCTGAACTCAGCATGCTCGAGCTGAAGGACCATCAGCTTCCAAAGAGTAAAGGCTCTTGTCTTGAATGAACACACTACTTAAAAAAAATCAAAAGCTTAATGAAGTCATCCCTTTCACAAACCTTAAAGGACAAAAATAGAGCACAGCTAAGCACACAGCAAGAGCTGGGAGGTGGGACTGAGTCAGCCATAGGAGAGAACTTGGTTGTTTTCCTTTTTTGTATAACTTCCTGGGGTATGAGGCATAAGTTATTGAGTTGTCATAGATAAACAACGTTCTACCCCCTGTCAGTGTAACAGCAAAGTTTTGAACGAACACATCTGAATTCTAAGTTTTACTGCATTTATCTTGGCATTAGGAATTGTTGATCCATAGAGGAAAAGAGGGCCGTGCCACTGAATGTGTGGCTGGCACCAGTCCTTAGAGGCAGGCAGGACCAGCTTTTGTTACTCCAGTCAACAGCGCAGTTTTACTCTGCATTGGGGGTAGAACTGTTTACAGTGCAGAATATGCACTGTAGTCTAAAACAGTACATAGATTTCCAAGTTCATGGTGGTGCTGATAGCAAGTCCCAGCTATGTGTTGTATCATCAGTCCTTGCCCTCCAGATACAGCTGTTCTCTATTGACATCTGTAGGAGCTGAAAATGTATAATACTGTGCAATAGGAGGCTTTCCAAGGGTAAATATACAGCTGTGATGAAGTTCAGGCCCTATTTGGTCACAGACATTTCATTCTGCTTTCTTAAGTCCCACGCTCTTTTCCTGAAAACACTTATTCTTCCTCCCTCTGAAGGAAAAAATATCTTGAATTTGTGTTTATGTCGTTGCTATGACATTCAGTTAAACTGTATGCAGATGCAGGTTCTGTTAATAAGAGAAAAAAACTGTACTGTGTACTTCAGTGAACAAAGATCACCCTGTGTTTGTGTTAAAATGTTGCTATGGCAGTGCATATGGTTTTATTTGCTGGAAGTCTGTGGTGAAATGGAAAGAGGTCACATGTATGCAAGACAAGAAATGGTAGCAAAAACAAGTCAAAATAAATACTGAAACTGAAAGGGAAATTGCAGGTGACATGTAAAAGCAGGAAGAAGCAGGGACAGTTATTTTGCTGTCTGTCTGTTATTTGATAATAGAAATGTGTTCCCACTGTGCCCCAGCGGGTCTCAGTGACCCATGGTACAGTGACTTAGCTCTAATGATGCTTTTATTGTGAGAGCTTCTTTCCCTCAATGGCTCTGTGCATTGTAGCTTTTTTGTTGTTGCTTTGGAAGCAAAGTTCCCCTGGCTTATCCTGAATTCACCACTGCTAACTTTTCCTGAGAAAAGTATTTTGAGGCTATCTTAATATAGCAGGCTTTTTGGCAAGGAAAATCAAGATTGATGAGATATGGGAAGCCACTAGACCCTTGCCTACCTTTGGGGCAAGGAAAAGTCTTTGTGACTCGTGATAGAAACAGTGGATTTAATTTATGTTTTTTTAACTGGCACAGTAGTCCTTGTATTTATCTAATCCATTTGCATGAGGAGTCTTTTTGCATCAGCTGCATCAGTACAGCTGTTCGTGTGGTTGCATGACAAATGAGAATGAGTTCAAAATAATCTGCCAAAGAAGGAGGGATAAAAATGAGAAGGGAGAGAGGGAGTCTTTTTTTAGAGAATAAATGACCACACTGGGAGCTGGCTGGTTCCTGCATCATTCCAGCTGGTGGAAAAGCAAAAGTGGTTTTAAAATCACATTGCCACTTTCTTTCGATTGTCCTTGTTCTGCGTCAACAAGGAGTAAGAAACAACCATGAAAGCTGTTGTTGCCTTTCCACTCCTTGCTTCCAGGTACTCATCTGGAACTGTATTGTAGCTCCAGAATTTGTCTGTTTTGCCAAGAGTGCCAATAGGGAGTAGAACTGTGCTCAAGTGAGGTAAAAATTAGGTTGGTGGATGAGGTATATATTAATGAAAAAGAATGGAGAGATGGCTTTAAAAGCTTGCCAGGAAGTCCCCATCACTTCCACACAGCCAGGAGGGCATTTAGGCATTAATCTCAGGCACATGGTGTGATTTTTAGAGTGTCCTGCACAGGGCCAGGAGTTGGACTCAGTGATCCTGATGAGTCCCTTCCAACTCAGCATATTCTGTGATCTAAACTCTCAGTGATATCTCTTTGTTGACCTTTTTCCCAGCCTCTGTTTTCAGCTGTACTTGGGCTTTCATATTGGTTTCAGTGGGATTGTTCCACTACAGTGCGAGTATCTACTGTAGAGAAAAATATATTGTTTCAAGTTCTTGTTAATAAACTTGTTGGTTTTACAGCCATTATATCTTGATGTCTAATTTTGTCAGTTAATTAGCTAATGATAAATTAGTTTTGCCATTAATTAGTTAATTAACTAATTAGGATCTAACCTGGTTGGTTTGAGATTCTGAAGGAAATAAGTAGCTTCAGAGAAACTGGTGTCTTTGACTTGGCTGATATACTGGGCTTCTTTTGATCTGATTTCAGTGTTCTCAAAATGTTGCTGGGCTACACTGCTGAGGTGAAGTTTTTAACACACATGTCCCAGTTGGATTCCCATCAGGGCAAATCTGTGTACCCTAGCTTTGAATTTTTTCTGTCTAGTAAATGAAAACCTACAAAATACTTTGTAATCTTTTCCTCCTGGGCGATTGCTACATTCCATCCTGTGATTGCACTCCAATATAGATGAAGTTGCTTATGTGACTGGTGCCTTGGCGTCTTTCAGGATCTTCTCCATTATAAATGGTGTACACAGAAGTCATAGCTGTAGTTTATATGGAGGAAAAATCCTAGCATAGGGGATGCCATCGATTCAATTTCTTAGTGTTTCATCTTTACATGATAATAGAAAGAAGCTTATTGTGTCATTTTGTTGGTTGGAGCCTTTTTTTACAGGATTTATATTTTCTAGACACCAAGTCTCACTGCAGTTCAATGCAGTTCAGTTGTTCATAAGTTGAAATGCATTTAGTAGGTATCTTCAAAGCCAGTTGTATGTTATTGCGTTCACTGTGACACCTCTGTGTTTCTGTGTGCTGTTTTATTCGTGGCTATGTAATATGGAGAAAAAAAAAACTGTGAAGATGAAAACAGGAACATGCCTACGTGAAAAAAACTGGTTTGAGGCAGAGCAGCTGGTAGAGCTCAGAGCCCTGTGTGGAAATAGTTCAGTCGATTAAGCAAGTGAACTAAACTGTGCACATGGATTTCTACAGGATCAGCTCAGAAGGGCAAACATCTGGCAAGAGCAGGCCTCTGGTGTGACACATTTAATTGCTTCTGTGTAGGTGCGTAGGTTTGACTTCCAACCCTGAATGACTGCCCACTGCAAACTGTTTTGTTTCAGTCCTCAAGACCTGTGAGGGATTCATGCACTTTTGGTGGACTGTAAATCCTCCCGCAGCAATCCCACTGATCCACAGTGTCTCTGCCTGTTCCTGCATAGCCCACTGGCTGCCCACCTGTAGCAGGGACATATGCCTGTTCCCAGCCGGCGTCCCCTGGAGGGTCAGGCAGCCCAGTGGGGCTGCTCTGCCGTGGGCTCTGTGGTAGTTGATGTGTGGAGTACAGAGATTCTCACGGCTCAGCAAGGGTTCAGTAGTAGCTCAGTTGTCCCACTGTCAGTACGATTTCAGCTCTTCCTCCACCTGCTGCTGCTTCAGGAGAGGGAGCTGGCAACATCTCATGAGAGAGGATTTAATGTAATCATGAAAGTCTTATGTCTGCATATTCCAGCTTTTGTTTTGTTTCTCGTCTTGGAGCACTTAAGGAAGCTGAAACTTTGTCTTCACTGGGTTACCTTCATTAGTAGGGAAGATTTTATGTGTAACCCTGATGTTATAGCAGTTACCACCGTCAAACCCTTGTAAGTGCATGGAATACAAGGCTAAACATTCCTTCGATCCTAAACCTGTAGTGTGACAATCGCTCCTTGTGGCGGCAGCACCTGATTCGGCCGAGTGCCCCGTGCCCGGCGCGGCGCTGACAGTCCCGGCGGCTGCGAAAGGAGCAGCCAAAGGACCGGGAGCAGACAGAAGGGAGAGGGGGGAATGGCTGGAGCTGGGCTGCTGCGGAGTAGACAGTGCTGCTCTCCCTCCTGGCATGTGCGGGCTCTGCCCGGCTCCAGGATGCTCCACACGGTGCTGATGGTTTTACTTTCAGGGTTTGAATAGCTGGATGGTCTGGCACTGAAATTCACTGCAAATGTACTGCTCCTTGTCCTGTACATTATTTATTATGTTCCTAACTTCTCATCTTCTAGTATTCCTCTTGAAGAAAGATGTTGATAATTTAGTTTTTGACAGGAAATAGGATTATAGTTGTGCTCATTACCTTACCTGTAAGCCCTGCTGCTGCACTTAATGGTATCTGAGCTTTTATCCTTTATATTTCTACACCTGCTATTTAGGGGTTCTTTTCTGCTAGAACAACAGAGGATATAAAGATTTCAAAGCAAGTGCAAAGACACAAAAAATGACACTGTGTCATTTTTTGTCATCTAATTGTGAAATGCAAAAAAGAAGAGACGACTGTATGGGTGGTGATGAATTAGTGTGACAGCCCAGCTTTGGAAGACTTGCAGTTCTTTTTAGTGAGATTAATTTCCTCTCTTTATATCACAGTAATTTCACTTAGTATATTTAACTTACGTTTATGTGATTTGCTCCTGCAGCCCTTATTCTCCCAGCAGTGTATTTTTATAGTGAGCATATTACAGAACCACCCCTCTACGTGGGGAAACATGGAAAAACCAAAGTGCAGGTTGTAAAACCCAGGTCCTGGCTAGAGCCACACTTGAGGCAGGAATTGAAAGGGCTGCTTTTGTTTGTATATGGTGTGTGTGTTACCGGCACATGGTCTACGTGTACAGTGTACTTACACGCAAACGTGATTTTTGGGGGAACTGTTACTTACGTTGGTGTGAAGATGGATGTCATTGGAGTGTAAGTGACAGTGGGGATGGCGAGGAATGCGCCTGCAGCTGCTGAGTGTCTGGGAGCAGTGTATTCCTCTTCGTCTGTCCATGCAATAATCCACTGTGTAAACCTGATGGTTTGTCAGTGAGCAGCCGATATAGTGAAGTGTTCATTGCTAGATCTAAGTAGAAGCCAAACAGAAGTGCTTCCATGCATTTTACACTTTTACTGTCAACAAACACTGTACAGACAAGTTTAGGTACAGCTGAGACTGTTGGCCAGGTGGTGAATTCCAAAACAGCTCAAGTTTTGAATGCCTTCCGGGAGAAAACTTGACTGAGCAAAAGAGGGAGAGCTGTAATTTCTCAGGCAAAGCATTAGCTGCCAGAGATGAGCTTCTGAGATATTTGGCTATTTATTCAATTGAGATATTTGTCTAATTAATAAAAAGTTGACCCTTAACCAATTCTGCTTTTAACTAATGACACTGGATGACACCCCTTCACAATTCTAAAACCTCAAAATCAGTCTCTGTATTTTATGAACGGTATCTTTCTCACTAAAGACTGGGAGTATATTTTGCCAGAGAAATACCCACACAAAGAGAAAAAAAAAAATCCTGTTGCAGGTTTCCTTTCACTCTTATCTGTGGCACAGCTTTAGGCTAACTAGAAGAGTACAAATGTTTGCTGCTTTCTGAGATCCTGCTCTAGTCTGATTTTTTAAATGTCATTTTCTTGCCATGTGCCAGTAAGCTCTCTTACAACTCCCTCGGTTAGCCAAATGTCATCTGTGTCCCGCAGAGTAAAGTGTAATGGTGTATTTAAAAAGTGGGAAGGAGAAGTGAGGAAAAGAGTGGCTGCTTTGCCTTTCAGTCTATTGGACAAGTACTCGAAATTCCGCACATTCTTCTCCTGTTAACAGTATGTTTACTTTTCATCACTGGGTTATTAGGATTAACAAAAGTCATTGCTTCAAGCTCATTTAATTTGAATTTAGTGAAAGCACACTACCTCCTGCAGACTGTAGGAAGCATTCTTCTGCTGCAGTAATGTATTAATTTGCAAAAAGCAGCCACCAAAAAGCGGAGACTTGACAACCACTTCCACCCCTATGTTCAACATCACTGTGCATGCACTGCATTCTAATGAAGTACCTTATGTTGCAAATTCCAGGACAGTTTGAATAATCTGACAGTCTAATTAACATTTCAGTCTATCAAAGATTTGCTTTCAATGCCAAGAAGCTCTTTCTGTACGTACTTTCTAGAGTGTAGGGTGGCAGACTGTGGACACCACTTCAAAACATCATTTAACCAAAGAATTAGACTCTGCTTTCTAGTCCATTGCTGCATCTGCAGTAGAGCTTGTTTTAACTTTCAAAGTACCTAAGAAACCTCTTGCGTTTGTTGTATGTTAAGCCTGTTGCCTATTAGAATGCTCTACTAAGAGTAGTTAGGTAAATATTTCTTTATTAAATGATTAATTCCATAAATAAATTCTTTTAATTCATTGAATATAAAATTAAAATCATTTACAACTTATTCCAGTATTACAGGGGCTGGAAGGGGTAAAAAAACTCAAAGAAAAAAAATAAAAACAAAAACAAAAGCTACAGGTTGATAAATAAAATACTCAGCTTTAAAACAACTGATTTCTGTTTGCCATTAAAACTACAGTTGGTACATAATAGCTGCCACTGTGAACACCCCAGAAGTGCCCACCTCAGGAAGGAATGTAACTTCCAACTTGGTTGGGAAAGGGTGGGAGAAGATTGGAGGGATGGGGAGAAGCATAGTGTTAAATTGAACAGAATAGTAAAGTTTTCATAACCAGAACAAAACATTTATCTGATCACTTACAAACAGAAAACAGTATATAATTAGATAAGGTGCTCCAAAAAGAAGCAGTAAAGTTGCTCCAGTACTATGAAGCTTTAAGTATGCTTAAATCTCTGTTGCATTAGTGTCCAGTTGCACAGTGCACTCCTGTAACATCTCAATGTTGCCCTCAAATGGGCAAGGCACCATTTCCATCAGAGGTCCTTTCTCCATGGCTGGTTACTTCAAAATTCTGTTTTGCATCCCACCCCCAACACAACTTAGTCCCTAAATTTATGGATGTCATTGACTAGTCTGTAGAAGGGATAAGCTTCATTTGCATGAGGACAGTTGTAGTTGCATCGGCAAGACTGGATCATCATGACACTCTTGGTGAAGGTTTCCCCATCATCGCAGCGGAACCTGACCTTGACAGTCCTGGTCTGCTGGGGCGTGCAGCACCTGCCATCCACACAGGAGCCACAGTACTTGGGGCGGTACTTCTTCACACTGGAGCATCCGGCGTAAGTAAACTTCACTGGGGATGGGGACTTCCTAGTCTTGGTACATTTTTTTCCCTTCTGTAAAGTAAAGGCAGTAACATTATTAGCAGGAGATTCTTCTCCAGCCTTTACCCCCTACCCAGAGCAGCTTAGAAAGAAAAGGAACACCAGAAGAGTCTGTATTTACCTTTAGGGAGGCATAGCTAGGCTGGCCACATGGCCTCACTTCGCATATCCTGGTCTCTTTGATGAGCTTGCAGTCAGCATTGTCATTGGTCACCCTTGTGGAGATGCCAGTTCCACATGTCTTTGAGCACTGGGACCAAGAAGTTGTTTGCACAATGCATTTGGGATTCTCAAAAGCTCGGCTTTGTGGCTCGGATCCAAAAACTGGAAAAGAAAAGGAGGGCTTAGCCTAAATATATTCTCTCACTGTGTTTCTTTCCCATTGGGGTCTAAGGAGTCATATAGCCACTCTCTGGCCGCCTCCCCTTAATGTCATGCAGATAAACCCACACTCACCAGGTAGCATTTTCAGGCCTCCCTTCACAATGGCAATCAGCTCGTTGTTCCTGGTTAGTTCGCCTTCAGAATCATCCGGACCAAACTCTTTGCTGAAGAAGCCTTCCAGCTCCTCTAGCGCATCCTTGCTTTCATCACAGACCCACTCCTCGCAGCACTGCCCGGGCACTTTGACCAGCCTGGGGCTAGGGCAGCCCAGGTTGGGAAGAGAGAGCTCCTGCGGGCAGAGCGGGATGCAGCCCACAGCTCCATCTATGCACGTACACTGGTGTTTACAGTTCGGCTGGAAGCTCTCCCCATTCTGGTAGATTTTGGAGTTATATTCACACGGTCTTCCCTCGGACTGTGCTGCAGAGATCAACAGAGAGGGAAAGAAGATAGTCAGCGGCGGGAATCGCTGGTTTAAGCGCAGGTATTTGCTGGTCTGTTAAACTCAGTGCACGGCGGAGCTCCCTACAACCCCCCGGGGACGCGGGGCCAGAACAATAACTTAGTCAGGAATCACTTTTCCTTATGTGCGTTTAGCGGAGCCCAGACATACTGAATCGCATTCCAGACTGCTGAAGTCATGTGCCTTTCTGCCAAGCTACCGACAACAAAGCATAACCATACATGGGCTCGAAATTACCGAACCCCAGCAGTGGGGGACGCGGGGTCGGTTCCCCGGGGGAGCGGGGTCGCCGCTTACCTCTGCAGATGCCCTTCAGGGCGGCGGGACTGGCCCCGAAGTTGCACTCCAGCCCCTTGGTGTGGTCGCAGGGCTGCGATCGGCTGCAGTCCTCGTTCAGCTGCTTGGCGCAGACCTTGCAGCAGCCGCAGCCGTCCGGCACCAGCCCCACGCCGGGGGCGCACTGCGGCGCGGCCGCCGGGCACTGGCACACGGCGGGGCAGGGCGAGCCCAGAGCCTGCGGAGCGGAGCGGAGCGCACGGTGAGCGCCGGCAGCGCAGCAGAGACACCCGACCCGCCTCCCCCTCGGCGGCCGCGGGCAGAGCCGCGATACTTACCAGGCGGGCCAGGCAGAGGAGAGCGGCCGCCAGAGCGGGGCGGGTGCCCGCGGAGCCCATGTCCAGCGCCGGTGCAGCGGAGCCCGTGTGAGCGCGGAGCGGGAGCGCGGCCGGCGCGGTCTGAGGCGGCTCCGGGCGCCGCCGCCTTATATGGGGCGCGGGGCCGCCGCGTGCGCCGCGGCGCTGACGTCGCGCGTTCCGGGCCGCGGCCGCGTCCAGCGCTCGCGGCATCCCAGGAATGCGGCTGGCGCGCGCCGCGGCCGCCCCGCCCCGCCCCGGCTCCGGCCCCGCGGCCAAGGCGGCGGCGCTGCCGCGGGGGGTCCCCGGCCGGGCCCGGCCGCCACGGAGCGCGGAGCGTCCCCGCAACGCGAGCGCGGTACAGGGAGACGCCGTTCGCGCTCGGGGCTGAGCCGGCGGCGCCCCGCGCCCGGACACCTGCGGGACAGCAGAGCTGCCCTGCCCGCGCCGGGCGCCCGCGGCGCTGCCCCGCCAGCTCACCCTGCCCGCGGGGTCACCGGGGCTCGGGCCCTGCCGCTGCTGCCGTGCGAGGGACAGCCACAACCCCGCCCGGTGCGGCAGAGCCCGGGAGCCTGGCGGTGCCCAATGGCACCGAGGGCCCGGTTTCCAGGCAGGGAACGGGATGGCCACGCGGCGAACATCCTCCCTCCCTGTCAACCTGCGTTATCTCCGGGCTCACTGTCCCTCACCCAAGTTGGGCGCCCTTGAATAGTATTGCCTCGTTGAAGTTTAATATTTGGGGATGGGGAGGGGAGATTTAGCTTCTGTTGTGGTGTCTTTTCTTTTCCTGGCTGTAAGTATTTCCAGATGGGATTTAGACCCCAGACGTAACAATATTTCCATATTTGGTATAGCAGTAGCCCGCATTTTTCACATTTTTCTGCTCTGTTATCCAACCACAAAGCATTCTTGACAGCTTCAGATGTTGTTAAATATAGCCTTAACTTCTGTTCCCAGGGCAGGAAATTCTTTGGAATTCCTGTTTTTCACGCAATCTGTCTATCATGATTTAGGAGAACTGCGCTGGAGGAGCCAACTGGCGTTCTGCTGCAGTTCACTCCTTTATTGAAATAGCCCAGCATTTGGGTCTGCTGCCCAAAGGCGTTACAATGAGTCCCCATTCCAGGGATTTTTCTTTGCAAATGAGATTATTGTTCCCAACACAAGTTTGGGGTTTTTCTTGTCGCCTTCTAGGCTGGAAGGTGGAGAAGCGGATTCAAAGGAGAGGCGAAAACTTGCAAAAACCCCTCCAAAGCCCATGAAAAGTGGAGGAGTGGGGGGTGAGGGGAACAGTGGGGATGGGAGGGATGCGGAGAAGGGGGGATGTGATTAACCTGGCTGCGGCGTTCCCATACAGCGGGTGTGCTTGCGTGCCGCCCGCCCGGGACAGGCAGCCGGGGAGGCGAGGCAGCCGCAGCCCCGCCACTCGGAGGAGCCGAGCCCGGACGTCTCGTCGCCTGCCCGGTGGCCGAAAGGGTGACAGAAAGGACCGTTTCGTGGGGACGGTGCGTAGGGCTCCGGTAAGTGCCACTCCCGGGGCCGCGGGCCCGTGTGCTGTTCCCTGTGTGTTCCCACACCAGCGGGAATGATGAGGCACCTTGTCGGGCCCTGCCGGGGCCGCATAAAGGAGGGTCCTTGTTGTTTGTCCGTGCCGGGAGCCCTGCGGTGCCTCCGCGGGCACCGGGAGGTCTCGCCTCTCCATCGCGCACCTGTCGCTGGCGGCCCCAGCCCCGGAGGGAGCGGCCCGGGGGGGACAGCCCGGCTGGGATTCCCAAACCCGCAGGCACCGCCGAGCTCCGTGGGCAGCACGTGGTCCTGGGGCCGGACGGGACTGGATGCGATGGGACGGGATGGGGTGGGCGCTGCAGGGTGGGGCAGCCTGTCCCCGCAGGGGGGTGCCGTGACCCCGGCGATGGGGCGGTGCGAGGGGTGTCCCCGCCGCATGGGACAGCGATGCCGCTGCCAGCCGGGCTGCGGAGCCCGGCCCCGAACTCCTTCTCAGGGATGTCCTGCACTGCCTGTGAAGGGCTCGTGTCCTCAGCACTGCTGTCGCTCCTCCCGGCAGTGGCCAAGCCCCTGCCCAGGCCAGTCTTGATAGAGGGTCCTCACTGTAGAGTTTTCCCTGCCTCCCCAATTTATTCTCTTCATGATTTTCTTTTCATTCAAGTAAATTGGTTTGACGTTTTACTTTGTGGTGTTTTAGGGTGTGGGGAAAGGCGATGGGATGGAAGCTCTGGGCACTCTTTGCCCAGAACATGTACTTCAGAAGGCAGCAGAAAGGACAATTGCTGAAAGGGAAAACCAGTCTTTAGTTACATATGGTAACATCTCTCTCTGGAGACTGCCAATGTGTACCATGTAATATCATTTCTGATGACAGGAATTGTTTAATGTGTCCAGTAAGAACTGGAGAGAGACCACCAGCAAGCTTTGATGGCTGCCAGTAATGGCAGTAACAACTTTCCATCTCCACGTATTTAGCTGAGCCCCAGCTGGTGATGAGGAGTAGGACAATCCCATTTCCAGACTCCAAGCTATCCACTCCATTGGTCTTCCCTTGGTTTCATACATGTATGGGTTTTCCTGTGGTACTTTAGATTTAAAACTCTAAAGTGGTTTTTAGATGAAGAATCTGATTGGTGCTTTTTCCCTGGATGACTCTTTACACAGCAGCATTATGATCAGGAGCAACAAATCTGTGATTCAACACACCTTGATTAATGAAAAAACACCTTGATTAATTTCAAAAATTTTGAAAAATAAGCTAAGACATCATTGCATGGTTAAATTGGCCAGTTTTGCTTTTCAGGGATTTATGCAAACACTTGTTTATTTAATTACATCTAATTTAAGGACACGCACTGAGCGCTTTGCTTTGATCTATGACTTTCACAACATTCAGCAAATGCCACAGGAAAAGTCAATGAATAGCGCCTTTTCTCACTTGGTTTCATGTCTTACCACACATTCACACAACTTTGATGGGAAACTGTAACTGAACCTACATTTGCTCAAGAAAAGGTCACTTTGAAAGCTTTGAAGCACCTTTTAACAAACCTGTCCTGAATTTCAAGTAGTTGTCAACACTTGAGATGGGTTGAGTTTCTTTGGAGTTCAGGTTAGACTGTGACCCTTTCCCTACACAGGTTTCCCTGTCACAAACCATGACCCAGTGTTTACCCTCCAAGCTGTGGAGGGTAAATAGCATGGGGTACATGTATGCCTACTTCTCCTGAATGTACATCAGGAAACAGGACAGTTTGGAATATCTTCCTTTTTTAGATTTTGTTCGGTGCAATGTACTGTTCCAGACCTTTGTTGTCCTAAGTGAACTGGGAAATATTCCCTGCTTCATGTCACAGAGAGTTTTACTGGCTTCTCAATTTGTGCTATAGGCAGTTGCTGGGGGCTCAGCTAATGCAAAGCAGGAATTTGAAACTGTTGGCTTACATAGCAGGTATTACAGATTTACTGAGTATATCCTGTCATTTTCACAGGCCTCTGTCTCTCCAGGGAAAGGACTTTCCAGAGAAATAAGTCAAGAAAAAATAACTGGCTTAATTTCCCTCCACCCAGCATCGTTTTTTCCCGGCTGTGCATAGGAACCTTGGAGCAGCATGAAGGGCTGTGTGGGACAGAGGCTTCTCCGGGTGCTGGTGCTCCCGCTGACAGTAAGTATCCAGCACCAAACTGGAGAACATCAGAGGTTTACAACCCTGTGGATTCTGGAGAAAGGTCTTACTAAATCCAGTGTCCAGCCCTTTTCTGTACTGTGTTTTATTTCCTCTTTCTCAGTCTCTTTTTCCTTTGCCCATCCATTGCTGTGTGCTTCTTCCATCTCTCCTACTCTTTCTTCTCTTTTTCCCTGTTCCAGTCTTTTCCCTGTGTCCTCCCTCTTCTAGTGGGTCCTGGTTTTGGCTGCCATAAAGTTCATTTTCTTTGTAGTAGCTGGTGCAGTGCTGTGTTTTGGATTTAGAATAATGCTGCCAGCACACTGATGTTTTAGTTGTTGCTGAGCAGTGCTTATAGTAAGTTGAGGACTTTTCAGCTCCCCACACCACCCCACCAATGAGTAGGCTGGGGAGTACAAGAAGCTAGGAGAAGACACAGATGGAACAACTGGCCAAAGGGATATTCCATATAATATGACAGTATATAAACTAGGGGGAAGCTGGCCAGGGGCCAGCTCTCCAGAACTGTCTGGACATTGGTCAGTTGGTGGTGGGAAATTGCATTGGGCATCACTTGTTTTGTATGTTCTAATTCTTTTATCATTTATTATTATTACAATTGTTATTATTATAGTTGTTATGATTATTGTTGTTATTATTGTTGTTGTTGTTGTTATTATTCCTCCTTCTTTTTCTGTTGTATTAAACTGCCTTTATCTAAACCCATGAATTTTACTTTTTTTCCCCAGTTCTCTCCCCCATCCCGTTGCAGGGGGAGGGAAGGGGCAGTCAGTGAGTGGCTCTGTGGTGTTTAGCTGCCTGCCTGCTGGTTAAACCACGACAGTGTTTACCTACCTTGGGCTGGGCCTCTCCTGCAGTCCCTGCCAGGCCGCTGGTTCCTGCTGCACTAAATCAGTCCTCCCAGAGTCAATGGCTCCTCTCAGTCACTCACAGGAGGTGCAAATCCAGTGGGACAAATTAAGCATAGCAACGCACAGGCAGATCAGCCAAGTAGCCAGCAGGCTTCAGCAGCTAAAATTCAAGTGGGTTCAGAAGTTTTTCCTTACTTTGATTTGCTCAGAGTTTATGCTGAATTCTTTTGAGTATGGCATTTCCTATTTGTTTTCTTCCTCTTCCCTGCTGCCTTCCCTTCAGCTATGCTCATGCCAGTCAGTTTTTGTACAGTCTGTGCCTTGCCTGTGGTTTCTAATATTTGGGGGGTTTTGCTTGGCAGTATTTGTGCACTGAGAGGCACTGTGCTTTGTAGGTGTGCTGCATTTTCCTCTGGCTGCTGTCAAGGTGTTGTAGAGGTTCCTAGTGTGTGGAAGTGCAAGGGGGACTTGTGAGCCTACTCAGTCTGCAGGGAAACAGAGAAGCAAAATTTGTTGTAGTATTCATCTGTGCTTATTGCTGCTTTGACGTGTGAACTGCAGCTTACATAAATATAAGGGACATAGCAATGTAACAGAGGCAGGGAGCATCCATGCTGACAGTCGCAGTTGGCATGATCTTGTTGGATGCCAACAGGCAGTACATACTGCATGGCTTCCTCACCCCAGACTGGATGCAGAAATGTGGAGCAGTTACAGCTAGCTCCTGCTTAGTTCCTTCTCACCAGTCAGAGGCCCAAAACACCTTGGTCATGGCCGCTCAAGGGTCTGACATTAACTTTATTTTAGTACCAGCCACTACCATTTCCTTAGTGAGACAGGTGGATTACTTTATACATGTTCACCTACTCTTATGCAGGTCTACTTCAACACTAGGCTACATTCAGAAGGTGCACCAGTTTGCACCAAGCACATCCCTATAGCTTAAATTTGCAATGGAAAGACCTATTATGGGCTTTGGCTCTCAATACCACAAAATAAAAATAATCAGGCTGTCCTAGCTAGCACCTGGCTGCAGAAGGATTTTCTTACTTATGTCTATTGTTTTCATACCATGCAGCCATGAAGCTTGCAGAAGATAAAAATATAGCTTGTAATCTCTTTATAAATTCCAGAAAAAAGTTCACAGCTGTGTCTCATGACTTTCATGAAGGAGGCTTGAAGCATCAGAGGAATACAAAGGTTCTTTCCCAGCATCCATTGAGATGAAGGTCCTGGACAGAGATCTCACCCCAGTTAATCATCCCAAGTGACCTCAGTAGAAACTTCTTAACTTTAAACTTTGGTCCTTTGAGGGCAGGATTTCCCAGTGGAGCAATGCATGTGAACTGACATCTGCAAAGACAAAATGAGCAAGCTCAGAAGATAATTGCTCATGATCCTAAGCAGTTACTGGAGCCAGATGAACCTGAGGTTGCAGTCAATTGGGCTGTGCCTGAGAAATCCTTAATCAAAGCACACTTCCAGGCTGTGGTCCGTAATGGTTGTCAGCTGCTGCCTTAGTCTACAGCTTAACTGCACCTTGGAGAGAACCAGCTCACCTTGGAGAGAACAAGCAGCTTGTATCTGTGGTGTCTGCCTAGAATGTGCTCTCTGTGGTAGGTTCAGATCTGTTTGTTTTCTTTTTCTACATTTGAAATATGTGGCAAACTCTTCTTCTCCCAAAGGTGTTTTGTTCATTATTGTTGATAATCACAGCTACATTTCCTTAAGGTTAGTCTGTGTTGAAGCTAGGGGAACCCTTTGCCTTCCTGTTGATGCTTTCCCTCCCTCCCTGCTGTTTGTGACCTGATGAAAGAGTTTGCTGTCACTGATCTAAGAACATTCAAAGGAGTTGCCTAGTCTTTGATTTTAATAGCATATTTTTTGTAGCTATTTTTTTGAAAAAAAAAAAGAGTATTGATTTATTTTTTTTCTTTGCATGCGAATAAGAGAGTAGGCCTGCTCTGGCAGGATGCTGAACATGCTCTGCCACACAGTGCTTTCTGTCACTTACTGCACTTTCCAGGCTAGCTGCTGGAAATGTCACAGGATTAATTTCTGAATCCCCTGAGGTGCCTGTTGGCTTTGTCCAAAAGCATTACTCATTCTCTGCTATGTACATAAGCTTACTAAAACATGGTGAGACCTTAGTTGTGTTTTCTGTGTTACTGTGCATTTCTATTCTGTTCCATCTGGGCTCTTACCCTTTGGCTGCCGGTGTGTTATGTGAGCACCTTGCAGCAGCAGCGAGCCACGTTCTTGTGCATGCTTATTTCATGGCACACACGAGCTAAGTGATGCCAGAAAGCCAGCCTCAATCTCCTCCAGGGATGTTCCCTGCTGGACATCAGTTGTTGTGCCTCTTGGTTCTAGTTTGTGATAGTGCAGTGAAAAAAATCAATAGCAGACAAATAAGTAGACACGATGTCATCCTTGCACACAGGGAGGACTTGCCGGCAGCCAGCAGAGCATGTATGTGCTTAAAGAATGCTTGTGGAGATGGAGTTATGGTCCAAGAATGTGCAAATAGCTGCCTGTCCCAGTGTTACGTGCCTGTGATCAGGGAGAAGTGCTAAACCACCTCTAGACTTAATTAGCATCCAAACCCAAAAGATTTGTCTTGTTGGGGGTGATTTTTCTAGGTGAGCAAAGAAGAAACTACATGAATGAAATCTTTTCTTTACCTTATCTCTGCTGGGGGCTGAAATAAAACTGGAGGGAGCCAGCTGTTAAGAACTGGTGGGCTGTTCTGAGAAAGGGTCCTCGCATGGGCTCCATCCAGCAGCAGTGAGTGAGAAGCACAGCAGCTTGCTCAGACCTTAGAGAGAAGGACATCTCTTTGAGCCAGGCAGGAAGCCTGTCTGCTGCCCACTGTTTTCCCAGGGACCAGTGTCCTCAGGAAGTAAAGGTTAGCAGGGGCTATCAGCAGAATACTTTGGTGCAGAGACTTGTTTTACGATTGCATTAACGTCTCTTTTCCTGTTGTTATACAGAAATTATGACTCCTAGTAACAGTGTTGAGGTGAAAGCAGAAGTTCTTCTGCATGAAGCAAGAATTAAAAGCTAGCTGATACATTAATGTAAAAGCAAATTGATGCTAGCTGGTGGCTTTTTACTTTCAGATAAGTTTGCTTTTGTGTTTTAATTCTTTTAACACTGCACCCCACTGTATTCTTTCGCACACAGGCAACTATGTGTTTATCACTGTCCTCTCTCACTGCCTAACCTGGAGTCTTCTTCTGAAACCCTCCATGAGCTCAGATTTCAGACTTTACGATAATGTGGGGTCAGAGCAGAAAAATGGTGGATAGGATGAGTCTTTCAGGTGAGCACTGTGTGATAACACGATGTTTGTGACTTGCTGTGAGGGGAGAGCCTCTGGTTTCAAGGATGTACCCATGCGGCCTTTAACAGTGCCATGTCAAAATAAAAATCATTGATTAAAAGTGTACCTCGCTTGTGCTGCTAAAAACAATTCTGGATTATACACGCTCAAAACAGTAAATATTTAATGTACAGGTTTACTTTTCCTGCTTTATAGAGAGCTCAGTGGGACTGACAGAGCAGCTAGACAGATGTGTTTATAGCGCGCTCCCCGGGCAGGCACAATGCTGCAGTGTTTGGCCTGCGAGCACCGCAGGGACATACTTAAAAAAATAAAAGTGTTCCATTTACATTGGGGGGGAAAAAAATCCTGAGAATGTTTCTATTAATATTAGCTGGTACAAAATTCCAAATTCTACATTTCAGGCCTTGTATATTTCAAAAATAGACCACTGGACGGTGGGAATGTGGGGTAAGAGGTGTTTCCTTGCTTATGTAGCCAGTGAAAGGGACAGTCACAGTGGCAGTTCTTGTGGCAGGAGAAGACAGCTGTTGCCAAAAAGCCCCTGATGAAGGTGGGGTGTGAAATGAAGAGTTCAGCAGCGAGCAGAGCAGGGCAGCAAACCCTGTGCATAAGCCTGGATAGGTGGGGGCACAGGCCAATGTGTCCATTTGAATGCGAATGGGCTTTATCCTCAGCCAACCTTCTGTGTGGTGCTTGTGGTTTTCCATGGACAAGGAGCTGGTTCTCAGGACCACATCTGAGATCCTGGACGTTTATCAGAGGGCATGTTTCTAAAAGGTGAGAGGGATCAGATGCTGTGGGGAAAGCAAAATGTGCGGAGATCTCTCCACCCGGTAGGATGGACACACCTCCCACACACATGAGATGCTGACAGAAATAGTGGGAAACCCACTTCCACATTAAGGGTTGGGATTTTTTCATGTTAGTTTTGACCTTGGTTGAGATCTTATCTGAGGACTAGCTTCTCTTCAATTATACTGTCATTAAGGCTGACTTATCTGGTCAAAATGAATGGCATAAATTAATTAGCACACATTAATTAACTGAAACAACTGACATTTGGTTTTCTGGAGAGCTCCCAGGGAATGAGTGGCTGCATCTGCCTCTGATTTCCTCTGAAGTTATACTCAGTTGAGAAGTGAGTTTATTTCAATAATCTGATTAGATAGTTGGCAGCTCTTGAAGAAAAATAACTTTTAAAAGGGGATCTTGGGATGATTAACTCCTCAGGAAAGTTTTCTGGTGAAGAAGAGTAGAGTAAGGAAGCAGAAGCCTGTATTAGAGCTGGCTAAGCACTCTGTGTTGTTAAATTAAGTCTATATCTCTGTAAAAAAATTTAATAGTCATCTGAGTGTGTGCAAATGAAGCAAGAAGTCTTGATGAGGTGATTTTGCTTTCTCACCAGATTTACCTGCAACAGACAACTTTCCCTGACTACACTTGACCTGCCATCCTGGTGACACAGGGGGATGGGGCCATCCCATGGGTACCTGTTCAGTGC